TCAAAATCTCCATCAGTGATTTCCAACCATTGTATGGTGGAGAATCATAACTTTAAATGGGATAAAGTAGAAATATTGGATATAGAGCCTTCATACAACAAAAGGTTGATATCAGAAATGGTTCATATTAAAAAACAGAAGCATGGGATTAATAGACAAAATGACACGGAGTCTTTGCCGGATTTGTATTCTGACATTATACATTCACTTTCTCCTTTCTAACATCTTCTGTCCTTTTCCTCCTGTTTTTCCTTTTTCCGTTTATTGATAATGTTTTTCTGTTTGACATTTCGTTGTGTGACATCGTTTAAGTCGGATGCTCGTTACTTTTGCGAATTTGCTTTAATAACCTATTAAATTAAAAAGACTATTTTACTGTACCACAAAATGGACCACATTTTACATTTTTTTCTCGTTGTGTATTATGGGACTTTTCACAGATTTACTAAGGTATATCATTATATTTTTAATTTTTATATGATTAATATTAATTATTTTTGTATACGGTTACTTTTCCAGAACTTTCTTATGACTTTGTTAATTCTTGATAAAAATGACTCACAGCGTATTACACCGAAAGAGGAAAGAATTATTTGTTAATTTTAAGAATATTGTAAGATTATGTATTAATTTTCAATTTAGAACGACATTTATATTATTGTATGATGGCATTGAAAATGACTAAATTGGAGTTGAAACGTTTGTTTCATTTTATTGTATTTTAATTGTTTTTGTATTAAGTTTTCTTAGCTGAATTATAATTTTTTATTTGCGTCATTGGCTCGTTGCCCTTCTTTTATACTACCTTTTGCTTATTACTACAGAGCCTTTTATATTACTTTTAATTCTATTATTATTTTTGGATTCTTTTGAACATTCTAAGACGAAAATCCTAATACGAAAATATCAAGGCTATAATAGTTTTCGAATTACACACTATCTTTAACCAATTATAAAATTCAAAAACTATTATAGCCTTGACTTATTTTTTTGTATTAGGATTTTCGTCCCAAAATTACTTCAAGAATATGTTCTTAAGATGAAATGCGGTAATGTGATCACTCTTATATAATGCGTGTGTGCGTGCGTATGTATTAGGGTAGTTGTTATTTTAACAATTTTCGAAATTTAATTGGGACACCTCCTAAAATGGTTCAATATCACAAAAAAATAACATCAAATTTTTTTCAGATTTTTTGAACAATTTTAACTTCATTGGATCGGCAATTTTTACTTTCGATTGTAATCAAAATTTACGTAAAATGAGTTTTAATTCATTTAATTTCGAACAAATTAAAAAAAAAAAACTTTAAAATGGGTTAACAATTAGAGCGTCGACTGAATTTTATCCACAAAGGTGTTTTTCCATCTATCCGTATCACTGGAGCATAGGTTAAAATTGTTAAAAAAAATCTGAAAAAATTTGATTTTTTTTTATATATTTAACTACTTTAGAGGGTGTCCTGATTAAATTTCAAAAATTGTTGAAATAACCACTTTAATATATATATATATATATATATATATATATACATATTTATATATATAAACTAATTTTTTTTTACTTTCCATATCTCGGAACATATGAATATATTTGATCAACATAGTGCCAAAAATTCATTATTAGTAGTATTTTTTGTATCTTACACATTTTAGACCTGTAAGAAGGCATTCGAAAATATTTAAGAAATTTTCTGTATCAAAGATATTTAAGACGAAACTTGATTTGTCGCTCCCATTTATATCTCGTCCGCATTACTGATTTTATATTGCATTTTATAAAAAAAGGATACGATAGTGTTGCATATCTTGATGTAATGTTTTTTGTTTATTCGTACATGTTATATATTGCAATCGCAATTCAGATTTGTAACCATTTTGCAGTTTTCAAGCAAACTCTATCCGTTTACGATCAGATTATAAATAAAAATTTTTTACAGAACGACATTAGAAATAGACGTGCATAATAATAAAAAAAAATGATTGAATATTTCACGCCATTTGATTTCGTTCTGTAAATCATCGCTATCTAAATAATTTTATCATATAGTAATGTACCTTTATATATCAACCTTATAACGTTCATGTATTTCAGCTATAAAACCTTTTTATCAAAAATTCATATCTGATTCCTATGTATCCTCTATCTAATAAATATAATTTATGCAAGTGTTATTTTTTTTAATTATATGAATAAAATTTTTTTTAATATATTAGAATCCATAGAACTTATTATAATGATTCGGACATTGATTAATTCAAAAAGCATGGGGAATGTTTTTATTTGAATAAGTAACTTTTTATAATTGCGTAATTTATAGTATATATATATATATATATATGCAATTTCATAATATTTGACAGCGATAATTTTATAATTTTTAATAATTTTTTTACGCAGTATGCAAAGATATAATAAAAATAAATACGATATTACATAAATCATCTAGTGTATCCAACGCGATCTCTGGGAATCAATCTGAGCTCTGCACCGTGTTTAAGAAATACATTTCCTGAAAGTATAAATTCCGATTAATATTCGTACACTTAAAATGAAGATATTGCGATATATATTTCAAGATTTACCTGCAGTTTGTTGAGGATTAATACCTATTCCATCATCTGTAATTATGGCCGATGTAGCTGGCGGCACTCTAAATTCCTCAGCAGCAAATTTTAATACAGCAGTAAATGGAGTATTTTCTGGTACACTAAGTCTGCAATTAATAAAATAATAGATGCGTTTCTTATTTTACAAGACATTGCCAAAACTACATACTGACAAAAAAAATATTGCCTTACAAATATATAAAGCAAATATATTTTTTTCATAACATCTTAATTATCTTTTAATATAGGATTGGTAATTATTTCGTTAACAAAATTTATAAGCGATAGAGAAAGTTTTTATTCTTTTTTGCAAAAATTACATAGAATGATTATAGATTATAGGACAATACAAAGTATATAATTTATATTACAAAATGAAAAAAATCTGGAAATTTAATTTAAGATATCTGCTTCAACATTACTCCATATCTTACTATCTGGTTGAGTTTTAACAGTAGACATTCTGTTGTATACTTGTTTGCGAATTACGCGGGGACCGTTTAACAAAATTTTCATTATTTGGCAAAGATGTTTGTACTCAAATTTAAAATCTGAGCACCACTTTCCATCTAGAAGATACATATTTCGGCCAAAATAAAATATTGCATCAACAAAATCTATGCAAAATCGAGTACTGTCCTGAAGTAATCTTAAGAGTGATTTCTTTTCAGTATCTGCTAAAGCTACGCATATTTCAGGATCATAGTCAGTTAATTTTGAAGTAAAAGTTTGTACAACCAATTCTTTAATTGTATCGTCATCTGATTCAACCGTTAAGTGTACAAGTCTTGAAACATGACTATCATTTAACATCTTATTTATGCATTTCATTACTTCATCTTGATCACCATTAGCTATTGCCATTTGCCATGACATAATTAATGCCTCGTCTTCCATGCCTGACAATGGTACTCCTAATTCTCCTAAAGAATCTATAATCATGTTTGTAGCGATAGAACTGCTTATTACTTGATTTAGAAAGGCATTTAATCTATCCTGTCCAAAATGTTGAGTATACAATTTTAGATATTCATCAACTATTTCCGTAGAAATACGATTGTCCTTCAAATAATGTTCCAATAATTTATCGCAAGCTTTTTCCAGATCAGAGCATGTAATATTCTGATTTTGTAGAAATAGCTTTCTCTCCAACTTTCGACGTAAATATTTCTCAAAGGGCAATGTTCTGTTTTCAGTTTGCACTTGGGCAACGGTGATTTCGATGAAGTGAGCACAGTTGAAAGCTTGTATAGCATTTTCTACAGTCATTTGTTCATTAATAGCTGGACTCTGCAGTAGCGCGAGAAATGCGTCGATAGTCTTAAAGATTTCAGAGCCAGCAACTTGCATGTTATTCTATACACACACACGCACACACATAACAAAGACACAATTTCTATTTCAAACAGCCACTTACACTTTATATGGCAGATTAGGATCAGATGTGAGAGTGATTCTGAATGTGACTTTGGACCTGTAACAAGTTAAATTTACATTAATACGTTATACAATACCTCATGTCTAAATTAATAAAACATATGGCTTTCTCACAATCATATCTACATCCCTTATTATTATTTATATTCATCAACTTTGTATCTACATACTTTAATCTTGTAAACATTTCTGAATTCTGAAAGATACGTACGCCATCATTCACACGCAAATTTCTATAAAATATATACAGACAATAATAATTGCTCTAAATTGCAATCAATTTGTGACAGATTATAAATGCAACAGTTAAACCAGGCCAACAAAAAGTGTAACCTAACCTAACCTAGCCTCTATTTAGGATCAGAGTAGTAATCATGTAACTTTGGCTGTGGTTAAAGTCTCGCTACAAATGCTTTGAAGCGTTTGATGGACCAATGAGAAGAAAGAATTTTACAAACTGACCAATTAAAAAACGCTTCAAAGTGTTCAACATCGCGTTGACTATACTCTTTAGAGCCGGTATTCATAGTCAGATCTTATATTCAAGACCGTCTTAAATACAGTCTTAAGAAGTCATGAACCAATCAGAAGGCGTCTTAAAATATTACTTAAGACGGTCTTGAAATAAGACTCGGCTTAGGTTTGTTCGCATCGCATGCTCCAAATTAATCTAGAGAGCATTTGGATCACAGGTAAAGTGGCAGTTGGAACAGTTGCATTCATGTGCTCCAATGTTCAGTGACACGAATGGATTTAAGCTGGAAACACAATAAAAAGCATAGGCAATAGGAACAAGGAATGAGAGATTTCAACCTATCAGAAAGCGTTCATTCTATTATTCATGATTTCTAATAAGTTTTAGGACAAATGAGCATGTCATCTAGCTTAATCCGTGAGACCACTTGAACAGGTCGGACATATGTCTCGTTTCGTTTCAGATATTTTGTGTTATCTTGATTATTTGAAAAGCGTTTTTATACAAAATAAATGCGCTTTTAATAAATATAAAAGTATATTATTATATATTATATTTTTATATTATATTATATTATATTTTATTGTATTAATATTATTTTATTTTTTATTTTATTAATATTATATTATATTGTTATATTATATTTTTATATTTATATCAAAAACACATTTATTAAATGCGTTTTTATACAAAATGAATCTGAAATACTTTTTTCGATACAGTACGTTTCAATCATTACGTATGCATGCCCCAATCGTATCATCTTCTGAGATGACGCAATTGGAGCGTGCTCTTAATTGATCTATGGAGTATGCTCTAACGCGACGCGAATCTAGTCGCCACATTGGTTCAGGTGACGCAACACATTGGAGCGTGTTGGGCATATTAGAGCGTGCGACGAACAAATCTTTGATAGTCCGATTTCGCGTTCGCACCTTTTACATCATGAAACAGTTGCTCCCATCAATTCACAGATTCACTATCAGATCGAAAGGATTTGCAAATGGCGGCTTTAAAGAGACTCAAAATCTGACCAATCAGAGATCGGTATCCCTTATAACTTGACTCCTTACTAAAGGGACTCTAAGACAACCTCGTTTATCCAGTTGTGATGGTGGTGGAATACGACATTCACAATTGCAACATTATCGAAGTAAGACTAAAGTACAATTTCATACAGCGAGTAAAAGCTGGCATTTTATCCCTTCTCCACCAATTTTTTAGATTGACGAATCCAGCGAATAAACGCTCAAAGTTCGACACTGGCCTTGTTTCCACCGACAGGGTGGACTGTTAGAGGCTCTGCACAATAAAAGGAACAGCGAACAGAGAACAGAGAATAAGAATAGAGAACAGAGAATAATTTCAACCTATCAGAAATCATGTATTGCGGAATACACAGTTTCTGATAGGTTGAAATTCTTATTTTCTATTCTTTATTTCTTGTTCCTTTTATTGTGCGGAGCTCCTTACAGTCGAACGACGGGGGAATGCTTGACTGTCGTTCTTACATTCTGATCCGGTTTAAACCCTCGGTAGAAACTAGGCCATTATCCAACTATGAGCGACGCAACGCTGATTTTGACTATGGCTCACTTGATGAGTCAAATATTTCGAAGCATTTTTTAATTGGTCAATTTTTTGAATTGTTTGTTCAACGCTCCTTTATTCACAGCATAAAGGGAGTAACTTCGCCAGCGAAACTTTGCTCCATAAAAAGAAAGGAGGCGATAGCTTTAGCTAGAGTTCCTATAAAGCTCAAATATCGTCCCAACTAAAATGGCGGCTGATCAATTGTGGTCACAAATTTTCTTCGATGCCCATTCCAGTGTATATATATATAGTTCAGTGATGTAATCATATCCTTAGGATGATGTCCCATGCAGCGGATCGTGTGTAAGTGGATTCGCGTATCACCAACACAGAATTACTCTTTTAGATCTGGTTACGAAATTTGCAAACAAAGATCGGCTGCATGGGACATCACCCTAAGGGTGCGATTACATCACTGAACTATATATACACTCGAATGGGCAAGGAGGAAAATTTGTAACCACAATTGATCAGCCGCTATTTTAGTTGGAACGATATTTGAGCGAATCAGAAGCGTTCGTGCGCGTGCTGTGATCGATGTATCGATCAATGTATAGAAATCTGTAGAGATAGACATCTATAGACATAGTATGTAAAAAAAATTATGTTACTTCAATTTTATTAGTACATTTAATAAAATAATATTAATAACACTTTTCATATCCTACATTGTTAACACATATGCAGAAACTGATACATTTAATACAAAAATTCTTACCTATGAAATGAAATGCCTTTTTTACTTCTCTGCCCACACTCAGGCAGCTCTTCATGTTGATACTTTGCACATTTTAGTCACGCGATTTTATAATCTTTTAAAGTAATCAATAAGATAGGAAACAAGACCGTTTATATTAAATAACATTACAATCCGAAGCGCCACTACGGTCTAAGTATTAAGATGTTGAATATATATATTATTCAAACGAATGAATTAATTTCAGAAATAATAATTACGTGTCGATATGGTTGTCGACATTAATGCAATTAATCCGAAATGTAATAATCCCCCCAAAATTCCCCAAATTAATCTTAAAAAACTGTAATAAACTTATTGCGAAAAAATATTGCCTCGGCCGGGAGTCGAACCCGGATCTCTTGCATTCCGTGCGAGCGTCCTGAGCCTTTAGACTACCGAGACCTTAGCAATAATTTTTCGCAATAACCGATATGTATCGAGAGTAATGCATTATTTCAGCGCGCGTTTATAAACAATAAGATAGGAAACAAGACTGTTTATATTAAATAACATTACAATCCGAAGCGCCATATCGACACGTAATTATTATTTCTGAAATTAATTCATTCGTTTGAATAATATGTATATTCAACATCTTAATACTTAGACCGTAGTGGCGCTTCGGATTGTAATGTTATTTTAAAGTAATCTTTCAAATATTGGGTCATCTAAAAAGTATCCGCGGTTTTTTGTCACTACATGTGTGTTGATGGTCATATATCTAGTGACAAAGTACCGCGGATACTTTTTAGATGACCCAATATAATGATGATCTTGCTGACATATGCATCTCACTAAAGAACACTAAACGTAAGTGTGCATGAGCACCTGAAAGCTTCTGATTTGCTCTTATATTGACCAAATTAAAATGGCGTTGATCAATTGGTGCCACGATTTTCTATGCTTCACAGCGAAGATGCCCATTTCAGTGTAAATATAATTCAGTGGATTACATGTAGCGCGGTACGCGGTACAGAAACTAACTGGGTAACTATAGGAACATCGCGCAAACCGTGCCGCTTGTTTTTTTTTTCCTTTATTACATGTAGGGCTATAAGCGGCACGGGTTGATAAGTAAACTTTAATATGAATTTTTTTTAACATATTAATTTATTTCTATTCACATTTCATCAATATTCTTATTTTTTCAACGGATTTAATTAATAATTACATTTAAATCAATTAATTCTATAAAAAGTGCTTAGTAATGTGAATTTGTCACTGGCCCATGCCGCTTACTGGGCTATATGTAATAGAGGAGAAAAAAGCAAGCGGCATAATTTGCACGATTCCTATAGTTATCTAGTTATAGCGTTTTCCACTGGTGCAACACTAGCGCCGTGTTTAGAAGGAACCTGTACTAGTATAGTAATAATGTAGGTTTGGCGGGGGGGGGGGCGGTACAATATAAGTATTAGGTCATCTAAAAAGTATCCGCGGTTTTTGTCACTAGATGATGTTGATGGTCATATATCTAGTGACAAATTACCGCGGATACTTTTTAGATGACCCAATACATACAATATGGAACTTTTTATGTGGTCCCCAATTTTTAGTACGCATGCGTCGATTTCTAACCAGGGGGTTGATTCAGTAAACAAGGTGAAAATTACAAAAGTGAGCAAATTTAGGCTGACCAATGAAATAATCAGTATTCCATTAAATTCGCTCACTTTTATAATTTTCATCTCATTTCAAGATACAGAATCGATCCCCAGGAATCTGCCTTCAGCAAGTTAAAATTGCAGGTTAGATTAGGTTAGCTGGATCTCTTTCCGTAAAATATAATTAACCCTTTCGTCTATAATATTGTATGAGACTCATGGTAAGGAACGACGTAACGCGTGACGTGCTCAGTGGAAACGTACCCTATTAGTTTCAGTACCGCATACCGCTATACTGAAACTAATGTATGCACCTTTAGGCGCCATTTTACTTTACATTGGTCGCGTTCAGCAAACTCAACTGTTACGGAGTGGATCCGTGAGTGCTCGTTACTATTGGATGATCTAGAAGAATACACCAATAGCAGCGAGCGCTCACGGATCCGCTCCGCAAACAGTTGTAGGTGCGTTCGGTATTGTAAATCGAAGGCGTCAGTTTACTATTTTACCTCGAAAATCGTTCGGCAACTCACATTTTTTTACTACACGTCATCTCATCTGTGTTCGATATTATTAATTATTTTTAAAGCCAATCGAGCTGTTCGATCCAGTCCGGATTCAAAGACCGTGCTAATGCAGATTTTCGCGCCTAAATTAAATTCATAACCTATATATTTATGATAATGTATCCAACTGATTCGTTAACACATAACGTACATTCATCTTTTATATTTTACAAATAATATATTCGAACTATTATAATATCTGAGTTTATAAACGCTCAAACAAATGCTATCAAATAGAAATTGATGGAATGCATTATGTACAATATTTAATGAGGAAAGTAAGTTTTAATTCTTTTCCTCTTTATGAATTTGAAGTTATGTATTTGAAAACAAAGAATTTGCTAGTTAATTTTTAGATCAAAGCTTATATTGCACAC